ACTCACAAAATTGAACAAAATTTGAAGTATGTTACAAAACGTATTTGTGTGTTTAAAGCAAATTTGACAGTGTCTCAATAATATGCATCATTGGTAGGGAAACCTAAAAGGTACAAAGGTACTTTTTGAAAATTAGGTTTAATTCTTTATTTAAAATGAACAAATGTCAAATATCACTATGAGTGAATACATTTCTCAATGTTAACTTCCTCACTCTATTTACAAGGTATTGTTTACACACCCGTTTGAGGCCTTTTGTTTCGGACATGCTCCACATACGGAGACGAAAAAGATGAAATGCCTTTGTTCCCAAGTATGGTATTGGGTCCAGCACACAATCACGGAAATAATAATGACAATGACATAATATTCCCACCAAACCCTTGCTGGCTTCTACAGTCGTCACTTTCGCACATCACAAAACTATGTTACCATATGTGTATAATGAATATTTTACCAGAGATATCATATGGGTAGCAATATTTTATCATCCGGGTGCATTTTAATAGTAGTATAAATAATTTTTCTCTACAGGTATTTCTCAAGCAAGCCTCATATAGCTGGAAGCTCGCAAGAAGAAGATGTGCTTGCTAATTATATTTACACGACATGGAAATCAAGCCTCAATGGAGCAAAGATATATAATTACACAGTGCTCCTGTCTTACCCCAATTCAACGGACCCAAACTATGTTGCCATTGTATCTTCTGATGGAACTGAAAGTGACATATCAGACAAGGTTGAGAAGATTCTTAGCCCTGACCAAAATGATTCAACCGTGGTCAACCCTTTTAATGCATACTCACCTTCTGGTGTTATAGTGGTAAGATACATTATATCTTTCATATTGGATAGTTTTTACATTGGTGTAGTTATGTTGCTCAGAATCACGGGGCACTATCCCCTGGTTTATGCAACACTGTTTGGGAAAGGTTTGACCAAAAAAGAAACAAAACAGAACTCCCCCCCCCCAAAAAACAAAACAAAAGAAAAAAACCAAAAAACAGTGCTCTCTGCAGTAACCGGAGACTGTCCCCTCCATAGCTGCATTGATAATGCATTATCAATATCAGTTTTGTCCAATCTGGACAGAGGTGATTGGCTGATATGAGGTACACACAAACACAAAAATAGTGCAATGTTCTATAGGCAATTAGAAAGCTATTTGCAACCTCCACAATGTTTGTCTGTACTAAATCATGTGCTTTGAAATATGTTTTCTCAGTAACAGGGATGTTAGATTTTCTTAGTAAATCAGCTGTGCAAACAGATTAATTTTTTTTTAGTTCCGACACCAATGTATGAAACACAAATAACTGGTATTGTGATACTCTGAGACACCAGGATTTAAACAGTTTATTACTGGGATTCTGTGTCACAGTATTATTCTCTGAAAGGGAAGGACAGTATTTTCCTTCCTTTAACTTCCCCCAACACTCACTCACTTTTTGGATAGTCTACAACTTTTGAAGATTTCCTGTCCTCTGTGTAGTCTACATAGTTACTTTGGTTGTTATGGACCCTTCCTTTTTCTTCTACTGGATATTTCCCAAGGACTCAAGTATAAAATAAATTGTGCAGAATGTTAATGTGTTCAACCAGCCCGAGGTAGTGGATTTGATGGTAGGAGTACCCTGGCCCTATTGCACAGTAATTTTACAACAGTTTGACCACTTACCTGGTCCTGCCGGGTACCGTGTCTCCACTGAAGCAGGATTTACAACATCGGGCTTCTACAGAACTGCATTAGAGTAAATCAATTTAGTGGTCATGTTGCTTGCAGTAATCCTTAAACGAATAATTATATAATCTAGTGCAGCAACACCACCAATAATCTAAAAGTTAAACATAAAATGCATCATAGTTAAGCAAAGAAGTGGACAAGAGAAATGTTACATATATCCAACTCAAACTCTACCAAGCCATATCTATCTGTAACAAGCATTTTCATGCACAATTTTTGATACTTGCATATTGCTTGCTTTCCAATGTGTCACCCGGATGGAGGGGGGAAAAAAAAGAAGAAACAACCACATGGTACATGTATTGTATGGTTAAACTTACACAGTTATTGCTCAAGTCTAAAGAAAACTCCCTTTCACAGGGGGATCCAGTTTATGTTAACTATGGTGCAGTGGAAGATTTCCATTATCTGACCAGGAATCTGTCAATGAATTTGAATGGCACTGTGGCAATTGCAAGATATGGAAAAATATTCAGAGGGGACAAGGTACATCTCATGTAATTGAAATCCATGTAAATAATAATAATAATAATAATAATAATAAAAAGCCTATGGAAAGTTTCATTACTCTTGTTTGTTTTGACGGTGTTTGGTTGTCTCTCTTTTTTTTTTTTTTTAAAGGTGAAGAATGGCCAAACTTTCGGTTGTGCCGGCATGATACTATACTCTGACCCGGCGGATTATGTGGCAGGCGACCTTGATCGTGTATTCCCTCATGATTGGTGGTTACCAGGAACTGGTGCACAGAGAGGGACTGTGTTCAACACTGATGGGGATCCATTAACACCATTTTACCCAGCTATAGGTAGGAAGGATATGAAACAATCCACATTTTTAATAACCCATATATGAAACTATCACATGCAATGGTTAAATCTATGGAAATGATTTATTAAACAGTATAAAAAATAAATAAATTATAAAACTGAATAATAAAACTGATACATTACTGGAAACCCTTACACTATTTGGTCAGAAATACAGGTTTGTATTCCTGACTCTATAATGTTCCTTTAATGTAAAGGTACATAGTCACGGAAATAATGTCTTAATTGTAATTTTTGTAACGCCTGAAAATTTACATATTGTTAACGTTTAAAATTTTTAAATTTTTAAAAGTATTTAACAAGGTTTTAAGAGATTACATAAATGAATAGGCCAGTACACATATCTTCATGTTAGAACTTTAGAGTAATTTTCAAATTAAAAAACAAAAATTCCATACTATTTGTTTTGTGGATAAAAAAATCTTGACTGTATCTAAACTGCAACACATATTAACTCTAGAAAAACAAACTTAATAAATGTTTATTTTGATTAGAGTCAGCATTTTCCTTGGATGAAAAAGACATTAGCAATTTGCCATTGATTCCTGTTACTCCAATCGGATACAATGATGCACAGAAGTATCTCAGGTAGTACAGCAATAATTCTTAAGTACTCTTATGCTAACTAATATGTTAGCTCCATTTTAACAAAAGTACATTTAACATCCAATTTTTAGATTAACAGTTTAATTTATTCCTCTAGGACAGTATTTCTCAATTGGTAAACACAAATGGGGTTCCGCCGTGATTTCCCCCAAACAAAATGGCCACCGCAAATTTTATTGCAAATCAGGGGCCCTGTAGTATCGGCTGGCTGGTAGGAAGTGATAGCACTTCCTCTAGCTTCACAGAGTTGCTGCCAGCGGGAGGGAAGAGGCACGAGACGGCCGCCCAGAGAGGCAGAGGAGAGGTTGGAGTGAGCACGCAGCAGCTCACTCCCATCAGCCTCAACCAACATCACCAGCACCACAAGCAAGCCATACTCCTGGACACACAAGGTAAGTTAACAGGAGGGTGGCTCTGATGTATGTCATATTGTTTGTGTGTGTGTGTGTGTGTATATCTGTGTGCCAAGGTGTGTGTATGTGCTAGTCAGTGTGTGTATCTGTTGGTGCAAATTTGTGTATCTGTCACTATGTGCATCTGAGTGTGTGTATCTGTGTGTCAAGGTGTGTGTCAGTGTGTGTATCTGTGTGCCACTATGTGCCAGTGTGTGTCAGATACATACACACACACAGATTCACACAGATAAACACACTGGCCCATACAAACACAAATACACACACCTTGACACACACTGGCACAGACACACACACAGACACATAGAGTGTCGAGGTGTGTGTATCTGTGTGTGTATAAGTGTGCCACTATGTGCCAGTGTGTGTGTGTATCTGTATGTCAGATACATACACACACTGGCACAAAGACAGATACACACTTTGACACACCGATACCTCCCCCACACACTCATTGTGTGTCAAGGTGTGTATATGTGTGTCAAGGTGTGTGCATCTGTGTGCCACTATGTGCCAGTGTGTGTATCTGTGTGTCAGATTCATACACAGAGACACACACTGGCACATACAAACACAGATACAGACACACACTGGCACATACTTTGACACACAGATACATACACACTGTGTCAAAGTGTGTGTATCTGTGTGACACTATATGCCAGTGTGTGTATCTGTGTGTCTGATTCATACAGAATGACACACAGATGCACACACTGGCACATGCAAACACAGATACATAGACACACACCGGCACATACAAACACAGATAAACAACCTTTGACACAGAGATACACACACCTTGACACACAGATACATACAACACACACACACACACTCATACATACATACACAGATACACACACCTTGACACACAGTGTGTATATGTATGTATGTATGAGTGTGCGTGTGTGTATGTATGTATGTATCTGTGTGTTAAGGAGTGTGTATCTCTGTGTCAAAGAGTGTGTATCTGTGTTTGTATGTACCGTTGTGTGTCTATGTATCTGTGTTTGCATGTGCCAGTGTGTGCATCTGTGTATCATTGTGTATGAATCAGACACACAGATACACACACTGGCACATAGTGGCACACAGATACACACACCTTGACACAGTGTGTATGTATCTGTGTGTCAAAGTGTGCCGGTGTGTGTCTGTGTTTGTATGTGCCAGTGTGTGTATCTGTGTGTCAGTGTGTATGAATCTGACACACAGATACACACATTGGCACATGGTGGCACACAGATACACACACCTTGACACACAAATACACACCTTGACACACAGTGAGTGTGTGGGGGGATGTATCTGTGTGTCAAAGTGTGTATCTGTGTTTGTTTGTGCCAGTGTGTATATCTGTGTGTGTGTGTGTATGTATCTGACATACAGATATACACACCTTCACACACAGTGTGTATCTGTGTTTGTTTGTGCCAGTGTGTATATCTGTGTGTGTGTGTGTGTGTATGTATCTGACATACAGATATACACACCTTCACACACAGTGTGTATCTGTGTGTCAGATACATACACACACACACACAGATACACACATACAAACACAGATACACACACCTTGACACACACCGGCACATACCAAAAAAAAGGTTTATGCGACGTTGCACATTTATTTACCGTATTTATCGGCGTATAACACGCACCGGCGTATAACACGCACCTCATTTTAAGAAGGAAATTTCAGGGGAAAAAAAACTTAAATTTCAAATAAAGAACTTCTTACCCCCTTTCTTACTCCCCCCTCCCCCTCTTCTTACCCCCCTTTCTTACTCCCCCCTCCCCCTCTTCTTACTTCCCCTTCCCCC